GCCGTTGGCGTGACAGGCGATGTTGTGGGCAAGAGGAGGTGGAAGAGGGTGCGTCCATTTGCGACAGCGTGTGTTTCATTAAAATTCGACGGATTGAAATGCGGAATACGAAATCGACTAAACGTACGCCGATAGAGTACAGCGGTGGTGCAACAACAACAACAACAATAATAATAATAACAACAATAACAACAACGAAAGCGACAACCGTCGTCTAAATGGCAAGAAAAAACGGTTGAAATAGTAATAGCAATAGCAACAACAACAATTGCAGTCACAGTGGCGTCGCTGACGGCTACACAGCGTCAGAGCAACGGCGAGAATAAATCGTTTTCTAGGAAATCCAGTTTTGGCGGCGAAACTGGATTTAAAAGCGTTTTTTCCGCTGCTGCACTGGCTTTGTTGCTTTTTTCTGCCTTTGAATCGCCCAAGCAGCAGCCCACAACAACAACAATAACAACAACAACAACAAATGACAGTGCATGCAATTACAACAAGTAATCAAACACACACCAAATAGCGCGATGCTCGAGGGGCCTAAAACGCGGCAAATACAGCTAAAGCAAAAGCAACAACAACAACGAAACTAGTGAAAACAACAACACTACTAGCCTGGTATTGTCACGCAGCCAAAGCTTAAATTTTTGTTGTTGCTGTTGCTGTTGCTGTTGCATTTGCAACAAGTGATGAATATGGAACTTGGCTTTGACTTTGAGACATGACTTTGGCCTCTGCGACGCGTAAAAGACCAAGTCTGTCCATAGACTGCTGTTGTTGTTGTTGTCTTGTCATTGCTTACTTAAACGTTATGCTACTGTTATTCGCCGCGTTGTAGTTGTTGCATGTAAACGCATTTATTCGTTGTTACCGTGAATTTTTTTTTCATGTTTTTACAATCGCTCGTCTTGGCAGCTAACCGCAGACACCCCCTTTGTTGTTGTTGTTGTTGTACTAGCTGTTTGTATATTTTTATTTTGTTTGTGTTTTTTTTTTATCCAAGTCACTCATTCACTCCACATTACATCACGAATGCAACGACAGAATTGGTCAAGCTGCAAAAACGCTTACAAATAAATATAAATACCTACACATGCACATACACACGCAAGCACATACGTATACACATGCATTACTGCATTCGTTTAGTCGCTTAAAACCAAGATAGTTAGCGACGTACGCCTTGACTGCCGCTGAATTGAGCATCGACAGCAACCGCTCAAGCACCAGCAACACCGTTCACCGAACGCCGAGCGCTGATCGCCAATCACCGATGCCAGAAACTGTGCTGTGCGGTAATGGCGAAAAAATGTCATAAATAAATTACACCAACCAATTGTCAGCACACTGTGGCATCTAATAGTTTGCCAACAACCATGGTACAGAAATATATTTGTACATCGGCTTAGATGCCATTTTGTGATAACCCAGGTGTTCAAAAGCTATAAAATTATAAAATTCTTATGGCTCAAACTAATAAAAAGTTGAGAAGACCGATAGCTAAAATATCCTAATGCGAAAGCCACCGAACCCAACCACATTTTGGTTATAAAAAGATATTGGCAATTCTACCATCAGATCAAATTTGACTCAAACAATTGTTATAAATCTCAGCTGCGATGAACTCCAATGATGCGTTCGATGAATGTAGGGTCCTCAGTTGAGCTGCTCTGCTAACTCTCGGATGACCACACGACGTTGTTCAAGCACTGCTTCTTTAAAATTTTCGATTTTATTGTTGTTAACAGAGGTGAATGGACGACTCACATTAGACAATTTTTCAATTACTTCAGACCATCACTGAATATATTGTGCCGTTGAAATACTTATGTTTCTGATAAAATAGACTCATCAAAGCATTTTTTGCAACATTTTCAACGATTCAACGTAGCCGTAATTCTGTTGAAAACGCAAAATTTCAATCAAACTCGTTGAGATGATATTATTTCAAGCTTACATTATAATGGAATGCCTTATAGTCCTACGAAAGAAAATTAAAAAAAACAAGATAAATGACGCTTTGCTTCTGTTCATAATTCAGCCAGCGCGAGCCATCTCTGACGGCGATAACCTTAATCGACTAAAATGTCTGCTCGGCGAGTCCTTTTTTTAAGTCTGGTGACAAAAAAATTCTCATGGAGCAGCGGTGCGTAACCTAATTGTATCATCGTCCGCAACTAAAGCCGGTCGCATCGTCCCAATGATTTCAAATAGAAGAGTTCTTTGCGGTTTTGACTTTTTCCAAGTAGATTATGTAAATCAACAATTGTGAATATCCGAAAATGGTTGCGATCACTTTCTGACTGAAAATATTCATTAACTACGGAGCAGCTTCGCCTTTCGAAGTTTTATGTTACGATAGTCCCTTGATTTTTGTTGTATGGATAGCATGTAGCATGTTTTTTCGACAGCTACAAAACAACGCAGAAACTTCCACAAGTTATGCTAAAAAAGCGTCAAACGCTGCTGTGGAATGATGTTACGGTTGTGCTTTTTTATCCGGTATAAACGCAGCACACCTCACGCCGATAGGTTTGCTTATGCCCAGTAGTTCATATAGAGTATGATTTTTTTTTTGCTTAGCCTAAGGGTAAAATCTGTAAATTCTAAAAAAAGAAAATTTTTGGACAAAAAAAAAAATTTTAACATCTAGTTTTAAAGTAAACTTCGAGTTAAAAATTTATTTTGGTTTAAACTCTTTATATTTGTATAGAAATTACCGTCTGTGACAGTTTTTGTCTCAAAATTTATTTTAACGCTTATGGAAAGCATGTTGTCGTTTAAGACTTTTTTTTGAAACTCCAGTAATGATCACACAAATTTTTTTTAAGTTGATAACTTTTAATTGGCCAGAAGTAGGACTCTCCACAGCTTCTAGAACACTTTTTTACGAAATAAAAATTTTAACTAGAAAATTTATTTTAAAACTGAGTGGGATATTAAAATTTTTTTATTTTTTTAAAATCTACAAAATTTACACTCAGGCCAGGCAAAACAAAAAAAAAAATTTTCGCTCCACCCTAATGATTAATGACTTTTTCATACCGAAAGAATATTCGGTGCGTTATTGCTGACATACGGCCCCGATTGCGGCAAAAAGTGGTCGGAAAATGAGCACTTTCGGCTGAAATTTATTCGGTCGCTTCCCCGAAATCATTTTAAAACCATTTATTCATAACGTAAAACAGAGGAAATGACCTGCGCTGCCTTGGAGAGACCAAGTAAAAAAAAAAAATTTGGTTTTACTTGACTTTACACGACTTAACGCCATTTGGATCGTCTATACAAAGTAAAACGTCTCTCCATTTTTTGCCAACTGGGTAAGCGCTGGCCAACAAACATTTAGTTTGTGTTTGTGGGCACGCAACAACTACAGTCGCGCTAAATAAAATGCCATAAATGATTGACGTGATTTTCAGTAGTATTTTGTTGACAACCGTTTCTTTTATGATTGCTTGTGTACATACAGACACATGTATGTATGGGCGAGTGTGTGTGTTGTGCCTTGCAACAGCTAAGAGCGTTGTCAACAAATGGCAAGATGGTACTAACAGCAATAACAAAAACAACATCGCATTGTAAAAAACGCTAGTTTTAAGAATTTCAAATGCTTTCTCGGTAAATTAACTAAAAATGCTGAAAACGCCGCTTTGCTGGCTGGCATACGCCTGGACACTAGCGCGCCAGCCAGCCAGCCAGCCCCAACGCATTACCGCGTAGAATATTTATATGTATGTGTGAGTGTGTATCACACAACAATATGTGTGTGTGTATGCAATTTCCTATTTTACTAATGTGGCCATTAACGATGTGGCTTAAATGCATTTTTAACTCGACTCATAATTATGCTTAAGTTTTGCTGCTGTCGCCAATTGTGCGCCAACGCGCGTCTCTCGCCGCCGGCCGTTGTGCGGGCACGGCAAAAGCAACTTGTCGCTGTTGTCATTATTGTTAACTTGTTTAGTGATTTTATAATTAGGTTTTCATTTGAAATCGCCACTGGAATTAGTTAGTTTGACTTACCACTTGGCCGTTCTTACGTATTGTACATTTGTTACTTTTTCAAGCGTGTTATGCATCGCTTGTTGTTGTTCTGTATTATTTTTCTTGCATTTTTCAAGTTGCGTCGCAGTTAGAGACTATCTGTGTTTTTTCTTCTGGTTTTTTTTTTTTTTTTTTTTTTTTTTTTGCTTTTGGTGGCAACATTGTTTAATTCTCGCTCGAAAAGTATCTAAGCTGCGCCTATCAACTGGTGGCAAGTATGTAGCATGTAAGCGCGCCGGCGCAGGCGTGTCGTGGCCATTTGTCGATTTGGGATGCAAGAGTTCTTGGAAGCGTCGCTAACACAACGCGGATCAGTATGCATGAACAAGGATAACTAACTAACACACACACACACACACACAAGCAGTACATAAATATATGTGTATATATATATGTGTGTGTGGACATGTTTAGCCATATATTATGCACCTCATTCGCCGCTTTTGCCTCTTTTTTATTGGCGTTTTTGTTCCACATTTGTTATTTGATTGTTTTTTGGTTCGAATGAGCACGCTGATTACATTTAATTGCTCGCGAGCGTATTAACTAAATATGTACATGCGTTTTACAAGATTACTGCCGGCGACCGCTCTATAAATGGTTCGCGTTGTCCAGCAAGCAAGAAAAGTAGGAAAAGAAGACACAAATGAAATTGTTAAGTTTTAGTGGGCGCCACAAGCAAACAAAGCTATATGCAACATGCATATACATATTTCTACTTTTACTGGTTTTATATGCATATATATGCTTTTACGAATATATGTATAACATATTTTATATGTATCCACATTGTGCCCGATATGGTTATAAACTATCGCAAGATCATTAAAAATCCATAAAATAATTTTTTAATACGTTTATTACAGTATTTATATTGGCATAATGACATAAGTATTTATAAGTATACAGATTTAAATCTAATATACGCAATAAAAATTCGTTTTGTTTTCTGTTTTCAGGAAAAAAACATTCTATCCAACATTTGGTAAGTTAAAAACATCATAATATATTTTACTTCATACTATTTTCATGTCACTTGATGTTGTAGCTAAAACTTTAACTTCGGCTGCACCCTTCATAAATGCAGCAGGTTCCTTAAAATAATTTGATTTTGACCATTCAAGTTGTATGGCAGCTATATGATATAGTGATTCGATGCAAACAATTTCTTTGGAAGTTGCACCATTGTCACACACACAATAACCCATGCTAAAGTATGTGAAAATATCTCGTTAAAAACATAAGTTTTCCATATAAAAATTTGATTCCGATCGTCCAGTTTGTATGACAGCTATATGCTATTGTGGTCCGATATCAGCGTTTTCTACCAACGAGCAGCTTTTAGGAGAGAAAATTAAGGGACTAGTTCCCTTATTTACAGACAGACGGACATGGCTGAATTGCTTTTGCTCCTCAAGCTGATCATTTATAAACACAATTTATAGGATTTCCAACGTTCTCTTCTGGGTGTTTTAAACTTCGTGGCAAACTTAATATACCCTAATCTATACCCGACATTTCACCCCACTCTCCTTTAATTTTTAATTAAGGACTCTAGTCCCAGCACTCTTATAAATTCAAGAATAAGGCTAGGCGCTAGGAAGTCCATGCGTTTCCTGCTAAGATGCATGTATTCCAGGGTTTTGTTCCTGCGTCTGCTCTAAACATTGTCTATATCAATTATATGGGTGTTTCATAAGCCTGCAGTTACCGGTTTATATTGAGACGATTTATTATTTATTTTTACCACTTGTTGGTTGTATCCTCGTAGTAAAAGTCTAGCTTTGGCGCAACCCAGATGTTTGCTACCAACGCTTTTCTCTTTCTGTCCTTTCCTCCTTACGTAGTAATTCTCTTATAGTATGTATACCAACTAGAAAGGAGCGTTTTTGGTAGCCGCTGCAGAGCGTACAAGCTTATCTGCCCTTCATTATTTACCTTTGTGTCACGGATAGGATGCTAAGCCGACTAACAAATTTCTTAACCAATAGCGATTTAATCTCGTAAAACAAGATCGCTTTGATTACCTTTGACTATTGTTAAATATAGCGCATTGCTCATTTTGACAGATATGCCCTGCTTTCGAGAGAAGGGCTCCCCTCAGCCTCTGCAACTTGCAAAGTTGAGGCCTCACTGATGTCATTGAGGTTCTCACACCCCACACCAACGCACCATATGTGATTATCGGACTTACGATCATGCTATACATCCACCTTACGCTATATGGCTTCCAGGCTTCCACAGGATTTTCCGACCAGGCGTTAGCATACATGAATATGAGTTCTTTTGTGGCTTAAACTATAGTATTCCCTACGTATGTACTTATTCACCGAAAAGTTGAGGACATCATCGTGAGGTACAGATATTTGACCACATTCGACCTATTTATTGCTGTGCTAATCCCCAACAGGGATCTTCTATAAGCGAAAGGAAAATTGCTCGGTTTAGATGGGTTTAAGTTTATTCTATTATATAGACTTAATAGGCAACTTTAAAAATTGCTATGAATTTGTGCAAAACAGCGATTCATGCGTCTGGATGTTGTTCGGTATAAAGTCTACAATACTCCGAACAAATATCGGCTGCTAGCAAACACCGTTTATATATAAAACTGTAATTAAAAAAACTAAAACTGAGACTAGCAGACTCTATTAAAGCTCGAATTATTAGAGTGCGAGAAAGGACTGACAGTTGACAAGAGTTGCGCCAACAATCATAATCACATCCTGATGGATGAAGTTATCAAATGTTGCCGTTGATGAACGCGAACATGCTCCAAACGCTACTGTCAAAGCCGGCATAATCAAGTGTGTGTAGCGGAGAGGGGTTAAAGTGCTACGCACTATACCACCGACCACCACTCCGCGCGCCGCTGCGCTACAAATTCTTTTTATTTCACAAAAAAATTGCACCAATTGGACGCATCCACTATTAGCGCTGACCAAACACTGAGCGCGCGCCGCCAACACAGCACACTTGCCCACACCGGCGCGCGGCGCCACGCCATGCAAACCGAATTCTACGACAGTAATAACAAACAATGCGCAAAAAAAACATGGAAACAATTCAAAAGTTGAGTGCTTTTCAAACAAAAAGAGGAGAAAAAATGCGCCAAGCAACAATGCGTTGCGTAGCGGTCGAATGCGGGGGAGCGCAGTGCGCGGGGCGTTTGTTGACGACGGTGAAAAAAAGTGAACGAAATGAAAAATCCAGAAAATTAAAATAAAACAATGCGATGGCAAACAACGCACTGGTTTACGCATGAAGAGATTTCGGTTGCGGCTGAGTGACGAACTTGCCTGCTGCGTTGCATGCACGCATTTTGCAATTCGTGCATATTGTTGCTGCTGCAACCGCATTTGCGAGTGGCTCGCAGTGCATTCTGTACTTATTGTTGTTGTTTCTATACTTTTATTTTTCAGTTGTCTATGTGAATGTGAATATGTCAGATTTCGAATTTTTTTATTTTTCATTATCCTCGGCCCGTCCCATTTCAGCCGCTGCGTCCCGTTAGCAAACAAGCGCTCGCCCCACCTACCGCGCACCAACCTCAACAGCAGAACGCATCACTTCGCATCAGCGTCAACGACGCATTCAAATCTGTTTGATGGACGGCAATTTCGCTGTTAATATATTTGAATTGTGTACGCAATTTCGTTGTTGTGGCATGCCGCACACAAGCACACGCGTCACACTCTTATGTGTACTCGTATATGTGCGCGCTGCACTTTGTTAGCTTTAAGGATGAGCTGCGCCTAACTGCGTAAGTCATCCTGTGTTAGCGCTAATACAACAACAACAACAACAATTGCCATATCAGCAGCAACGATTTCGATTAAGCGCAGGGCGGCGTGCTCAGGCAATGAAATCATCTTGCTGTCACGGCTTACTGGGTTGGCTGGCTGACTTCCACGCTGCGTAGTTGTTGCAGTTGGGAGTCTGTTTGCAAACGCATTCACAACATGATGACAATTAAATGCATTGCAATGCAAAAATAACAACAACAACAGGGGTATAAAAGTTGGGCAACAACAATGCGCACAGCAAGAAAATTGCCAGTGTAGCAAGCGGAGCGTGTATTATATCGGTACGGTGTACATACACACACACATACGCGCGCCCAACCACACATCGTCATCTGACCGGCAAATGCGGCAGGCAGCAGCCGGCAGCATTAGATGCGCATTGCTGCAACATGCCAACAATACAGTTATCTGCGTATTTTAAGCTTTTTTTGATTATCTCTGCAGCCTGTTTGTTTATATATGTGTACATATATATTTTTTTTTACCCTCTCAAATGCACAAAGCTTCGAGTTTCATTTTGCTGCTATTGTTGCAGTTACTTCCATCGTGTGTGTTGTTTTTGTAATTTTTTGTTGTTTAATTTACAACTTGAAAATCAGCAATTCAGTGCAATTTGCATTTGATTTTAATTTTGAAATTGTTTTGTATTGGTTGTTGCGCGTTTGTTGTTGCTTTGCGATGTTTATTATCATTGATGCTCCCTTTTGCCACAAATATTGTTTACTACTGCAACCGCTAATGTTTGCAATTGTTGTTATGACATAGCATTGTTTTTGTTACACATATCCCTGTTGTTGTTCTTGTTGCTGCTGTTAAGTTAATAGCAACGAATTAAGTTTATTAATTTATTTAATGTGCACTTAATTACACCATATATTTGCCAGCGTTGCTTTTGAGTGTGCGTTGTCACTGCTGGAGTGCTTCACCGGCGCGCGCTTGTTGTTGTTGCTGTTACTTTTGCCATAATGTTCATACATACCTTCTGGATTATATTAATTTCTATTGAAGCAGGTCTTTAAAGAATACATTTTTTTCTCATATTAAACTCTGCAGTTAGCGTCACATACACCATCTGATCATATTTGACCCGGACGGATAACAAAAAACAAATTTTTCACGTGTTTTAATACGAATTTTTATTATCGTCCTAAAATAGGCAAGAGTCTAGCATTTAAACGCTTCATACCCAAAACTTTAACCACAATATGTTGAGTCAATTCAAAAGAGACTTTGAGAGCCTCTGCTATCTCTCTGATGCATATAGGACGATTTTCAAGTACAGTTTCATTTACTTTTCGATTTTATCGTCTTTATATAACAGAGGTGGTTGGACGACTCGCATGAGGCAAGTTTTCACAAGTTTCAAATACTTATGTACCTGCTATAGCAGACTCCCAAAAATACATCTGAAAAATTGTAAACTATTCCGTAGTCGCGATTCCATTGGAAACACAAAACTTCTAGCTAACACGTTGCCACATTTTTTTTCTGTTGTAAAATTCGCGACTAAACTGTGGAGAACAAACTTCACTCGAACAAAAAGAAAAGTTGTACCAATTTAGGAAAAAATGTGTAACGATTTGGTTTGTGCGCGGAGTTTATATGGACAAATTTGATGCGTCACTTCTAACTGCACAATTTCAATGCTAAACGTCTACTTTCGAAATTGTAACTGTATTTGCTCTTCTGCCAATTAAAGCAATTTACTTCCATCTTCCCTTTGTCTTTTCATTTCTAATTCTCTACTGTAAAAACGTAAGCATCTTTTACGATCCGGTCAAAAAGTAGTACTCTCTGTAATTTTAATTTAGTTGAAAGCATATCCATATTCAGTACCAACAACTCTGTTTACTTCTAAAGAACTTAGTACATGACTCCCTAATCAATGAGTATCTTGTTTGTTTCATCTATACTCATCTATATTCCCCTTGAACATCCCAAGAATGCTTAAAACATTCAAAAAAAGGACACTTGATTTGATATATATTTATACCCTGAACAGGGGTTAAGTTTGCCACGACGTTTATAACATCCAGAAAAACACGTCGGAGACCCTATAAAATGTATACATAAATGATCAGCATGTTGAGCTGAGTTGATTTAGCCATCTCTCTGTAAATAGGAGAACCAGTCCTTGAGCTTTTAATGTATCGTTCTGAAATTTTGCTGCTAATATGCTGCTCATTTGTCAGAACGGCCGATCCAGGACCACTGTAGCATATAGCTGTCATACAAACTTAACAATCGGAATCAAGTGTTTTTATGGAAAACTCTTTAATTTGACGAGATATCTTTACGAAATTAGATCGGAATCAAGTGCTTGTGAGCAGCCTTTGTATTTGTGAAGGGTATTATAGTTTCGGTGCAACCAAAGTTAACGATTTTTCTTGTTTTTTGTTGCAACCAACAGTAATCTTTTCAGATAGTCGCCTCGCCCTTTTTTGCCTTCCTAACCTTCCAAAGATTAAAAACTGCTATGGAATATTGTGCTGAACCGTCAAATCATCAGCTTTATGTTTCGAACTAAAAATAATGAACAACGAACTAAAGTTGCATTTATTAGTATCCAAATTATGAAATTAAAAGGCGAATCTGACTCAAATTCGGGGAACTAAGGACAATACTATAGCGGTATTCAGGCTTACAACACATTGTTTGCAACATTTGCTCATTTTTCATTTATTTATCTGGCTCATACCATGTGGTAAGATATATGGAACCTACCCTTAAAATGCAAAAGCAATTAATTCTTACTTACATTGTTTTTCCCGATTTTAGCAATCTAATTTCATAAACAAAAATAGCCGCAAGATTGTGTTCAATTTTTTGCAGAGGCTCCAATTTGATTTTAAAAAAATTGTCGAAGGTTTCCCAACGAATAACCGCTAACTTAAAAAATTTATATTGTAACATAGGTACGAAACGTATAGTCGAAACAGAATGAAATTGATTATTTTTGGGAATGACTTCTTATGGCTATGGGAGCATGCGAGATATCAGAAGAATTGAGAATTGATTGTTATTTTCACCAAGTTTTCCAAAGGATCTGACTACTAGTTTTCAATTTTCCCGATCTTCAAGACGTTATCAGTTATAGACATGGTTATTGGACTGTATTCGTCCATCTTAAGTGCTAAAAAAAGCTTAGTTGTTTCATGAAGTGAAACGCCTTTTATCTCTTACTGTCTTAGAGTTATGGAGCTGGAGTTTCATGACTCGTTTGAAGTATTATTTATATTGCATATATTCTTTATTTTGCGTATAACTTTACAGAAACACTATTACAATCTAGGCACATAACCCGGAAGAACTCGTGTATTTATTCAATTAATTTGTATATTTTTAGAAATATATATCATAAATAGATATATATCTGAAGGTTTCTTTTTGTAAGAAAATGCTGTCTTTCGATGTATTTCTTTCAAAAATAAACTCGAGTTTAAGCTTTTGGATACATGAAAAACAGCGAAGGTATAAGGAAGTCTCTAGAGAAACTTTGAGTTTAATTTGAATATTCTTTGTATGTCTGTCGGGATGAAATGCCAAAATAGTGACTTTTTCAATTACGCTGAAACGTTTACTAAAAATGGTGTTTAAGGCGAGTTAAAAAACAAAACGAGTGTATGGTAAACTCTGAGTTTGAGAGTTGACACAAGTCCTTATGTTCAAAGATTTTTCTATGATAAACTTGGTGTTTGACGGTACTGTTTTGATGTTTAACAAAATGTTCAATAAAAACGAGTTTGTGATACAATAAAATAAGACACTTTGACGAGAATTACAACAAATATAGCTCAATATAAAAATAGACTCGTTCAATATAAAGGTGAATAGTTAGACCTGCGACAGTCAGGTAAGCTTAAATGAATGCCTAATCGGCACAGTATAAATATAAGTAGTTTCAGATATGTGCGTTTGCGATAGATTTCATTCCGGTTCACTGAATGCCTGAAAGTAACTTGAAAAGTTTCTCTCACACACACTCATTTACGCCTTATTTAAATGTAAGCTTCTGCGTGTGTAGACAAATCATAATTAACCCAAATTAAGGCATAATTTTTGCATGAATACAACAGTAGCAGCAAAAACAACAACAATAATGGAATAATCCACAGCAATGCGTGGCCCACCCACCGAGCGCCCAGGAGTCAAACGAAGGATGAGTGCATACGCACACACTTACGCAATGGGCTAACGAGCATGAAGCTGCAGCGAGCGCACTGCAACACTGCAGGCGGCTGGTGCTTGGGCGGTTAAGGCTGATAAAAGTTTAGCTGCGTATCTAATACACTGCGACCGAGCTGCGTGGCAGGTGAAGAGAATGCGTGCTCAATTTTCTATTTTTATTCATTTTGTGCGCATAAAATTTATTTATTTTAGCTTGGTCTGTCGGTCGGTCGGTCGGTCGGTCGGTTGGTTAGTTGCTTGGTTTGGCCTCCATACCACGAACCCTTCGCGTTCTTGATCGGATATGCCTGCGGCCAGAGGGGTCGGACAGCTAGCTGACTCGGCCTCATGGTTGAGGTATCAAAGCGAGCGTTAAGCCCAAGTCGCCACACGCACGCATATATAATATTTTGCAACTGTGTGCGTGTGGCTGTGCGTATGTGGCAGACAGTTCGTCCTAGGCTGCAGCGCTTGCATCCTGTGCGTGCGCCTCGAGTGCTCCAATACATTCAAACATACACATATTTTTATTTGAATTTTATATAAATAATTTTTTATATCATACAATTTCTCTGCATTTTTATCCAACGCAGCCCGCTAGCCGCACGTCCACCGACCGCCCTGCCAGCCTGCCACATTTGACTACTGTAGCAAAAATGCGTAATTTCAATCAACAGACAACGCAACGCACCGCAAATCACAAAAACAAGAACAAAAAAAGCCCAACAACAACAAAAACCAAATCCGTTAATTTGTATATAGAAGTGGCTGGCTGAAGTGTGGGCGCGGCTGCACTTGTATGCGTAGCCATGCATTATGGACAGATGCAGCGCCATGCGTGTTGCATGCTGCGTGGACGAAGGCATTGACGTGCTGACTGCTGGCTCTTACGCAATCACACATGCACGCATATCTATTTCAATTTGACTTTTGCAATATTTTTGCAAATTTGAAAATGTTAACTTTCCGGTTTTGTATTTGTTTTTGTTACGCTTTTTCCCTTATTTTTTTAGCATATTTTATTTTAGCATTTTTTCCTCGGCTTTTTGTAATGTCCATTATCCTTCCATCATTTTATTGCAAATGTTTTGTTTCGTTTTTAATTAAAAATAAAAACATTACAACAAAAAAACTTTCAGTGCATATAGAAGTTGCGTTTCAATGGAGAAAATATTAAAGTACTCGACGGTTGGTCGTTTGGTTTGTCGATTTCTATCTATTTCTCTACTCAGTTTGGTCCAGTTAGATGAAAAATATCATTTACATTTAATATTCGCATTTGTTAAATTAACGGTGCTTCGTGAGCTGAAAAGTCCTTTGTTAGTCTGAGACATCGTCAATAACAAAAACATCCCTATATCTCTATTCTTGGCTCGGAGTACTAACCATAACTAGAATACTGTCAAAGTTTCAATACATTTCATTCAATCGTTCTTAAATTATTGACTCCAAAGTATAGCTATCTCTGCTATTTAAAATGCTGTGCCCAATCGGTAGTCCGCTGTGTGATTGTTACCAGGTAAAGGTCCACCAAGGCGCCCGAACAACAGTCGGCCGGCAAACTTTTAGCCAGTATTTTTTTGGTGTTCACATAATTTTGATAGATTTCCTTGAGTATTGTAAAACTATCAATAGGAAATATTACTGTACATTATAAGATCAATTCGGCATCGTGATCAAAGCCCAACGCCCTTATTTGGCGATGAAAAAAAATCGCACTTCTAACAAGACAACGCACCGATGCATTCAGCTTGTGATACGGCAAGTAAGTACCCTATGAACTTCTACCCCTCCCTACGGATTCCATTACAGTTATCCTTAAATCCGAAAACATTTATTTCCGAATCTCCAGGCTGGTTTTTTCCTGTTACTCCTCACTGTAGCATAGGGTCTCAACAAGGATTCGCCATCTCACACAATTGAAGGCTGTGGTCTTTGACGCGCCTCAGATAGTTTTGATATCGGCTAATGCACGCCGTACCAACCCTTCTCCATGTCACTTTTGAGGTTTTCAGTGACATCCTTGTGATGCTGAACGGGTTCTTCCTCAGAGTATAGTTTCGATACCTCGTGGTTGTTTATAGGTTTAGGACAAAACATTCAGCAGATGATTCGTAGGCACTGGTTGATGAATGCTTGATGCCTCTGAGAGATGGAGTTCGAGACCAGCCATATTTCGCTTTCACATTACAGCGTTGACTTCACGCATGCAGAAAATGTTCTGATCTTTGTCCCTTACACCCATTGTAGTCGACCAAAAGGCACACTTACTTCGTTCATCCTACAGTGGGTATCCATTTTTGCGCCTCCATCAGTTGTGATTATGCTTCCGAGGTAACAGAAGCTGTCGACAAACGCGTTCTCATGATTGTCAATCTTTAATTGACTTCTGCTGAAGTGATTAACTGTCATGTCTTTAGTTTTTGCGTTGTTGATCTCTGAAAGTGCATACCAGCTCAACCAAGTTATTGACCTTTTCTTGCTCTTCTACTTGCAAGCCGAAAACGTTATCAATTCTTACTTTTTATTTAAATATAATTTAACGATAAGAAATGTGTCGCGACTTTTTGGTTTCTCACAACAATATCAATCGTCTAATGAGTATAATACTTCTAGCAGAGCAACAAGCCACACAGTTCTCGAAACTATCAATTAATAGGAAAGAACTTATGGTGTTTGAGTCATATAAACAAATGGATCAGTCAACTGGTCGGAACCGAACGGTTGTCACGATAGATAGACATGTTTGTCATATGCTCGAAATTCCACACAAACACTTAATATTATGAAATTTGTCAATTATTAAACCAAACGTTTTGCAAAATCATTAATTTTTCTGATTTTTATTTCAAATCTCTGAAAAACACATCCGATATACCAATATTCATAAATGTATATTCAAACTGCGTGCAATTTGGTATAAACGGTTTTTGATTGATTTTTATTTTTCTTCATTTTTATATTTTATATTATTTTTTTCATAATTTATACCCTTTACTTCTCCAAACTCTCAACATTACACCGCTTTTTTTCCTTTGCAAATATTTTGTTGAATTTTTCAATATTTTTTTTCTTTTTGGCATTCGCTCGTTTTCTCTCTTCCTTGCGGCAGCAATTACCGCTATGGATGCGAGCAATCTCGTTACATCCGGTCAAGACACATACCAACGAACAATCCGGACAGTTGTGTGACTAGTCGTATAGCATATGTGAAACATATCATTTGTTGTCGTTGTTGTTGTAGTCATGTTTCTTCGCAATCTTTTTTTGATAGTTTAAATCCACTTTGATCAAATGATATTTGGTTGGTTTGAGGTTGTTAACTTCGTTTGCAACGATGGTGCACCTCCTCTACATACACCAGCATACACACATATGTACATATGTACATCTGACAGAAGATATATGTATGCACTAAACTAGTTTTAATAGTTTCATTTCGCCACAGCATTTAGATTGTTAAGCACTGGTTCGATTGAGGCAATCACTGGGGCATGATTGAGCTTCCTATCAATTTGAGGAGTTGCATGCGTACACATACATAGCTACATACATATTAACTGACGCGGTTGTCGTTTTGACTAGAATTATTTGTTCTTACATATATATTTATACAACTATACACGCCCCACAGGGATATCGAAAATTGGTCTCGAAGTTGCAACTAAGTAAATGACCCTCCGTTGTCCGCTAGATACTCACACCAGCGCTGTTTTGACAGATAGAGGCATCTCATCAATCGCAAGACATCTACAAGGCACTTTGTGCGCCACCGCATGCTCCTGAGTTGCGGCTATTCAATTAGGTTTACCTACTTGTTGGTCACTTTGTAGCTTAACATCCGGTTGTTTGTTGTATTTTGTTGTTATTCGCGTTCAGTTTCGATAAAATTTTTTGCGTTCAACGAGACAATTAAAGAAGTGTCTTATAACGGGAAGGAAATAGTCTTGTTTTATAACGAATTCATTATAATTGTAATGAAATTTATTTATCCAGATGGAAAACAATATTTTTTAATTTTTAATATTATTATTCTATATTCTTCTTGATATACCATCAACGACATGAGGCCAATTCTACGGCTGATAAATTTTATGAGTAGCTAAAAGTATACTCGAATATTCATCTTTTCATTTGGAAAGATATGCTTCTCACACATTCAATAAACGTTTGCCTCCACCTGTAATGACTGCTTTCAAATTATTTTTCTA